AAACAGTTCAACTACACAGATTGTTAATTTTGAAGAACCATAGGTTTCCTATATCAACCGTTTTCACCTAAATATCTGTTTTAAAATATTTTGTGTTAACTGGTTTGTCATAACTGTAGATTGATTGTAGAGAAATGCATAGGTATGTTAGAAGTCACGGGAAGTAAAAATATAACCACAATCGGAGATTAAATTATAGCTGAATCGAAAATTATAATATTCGTATAGGGTTAAATCAACTTATTTTAGTAAATAATTTTGACAAGAGGTTACGCATAATTCAATATTAATTGATGTTTTTAGCTCGTTTAAAGTTCAACCCAATTAGACTAGATAGACTCGAAATGAAATGTTAATTGATGTATTGATGATTTTGTTTGGTGGTATATAAGTCTATAGTTCATATACATGTTGAAATATTACAAACCATGTTCAAGATATCAAGTAAAAGAATAAAAGACTTACAAAAATACCCTGCCCTATCACCTATGTTAGAAATTGTATATAAATTTATTACAATCTCAATTCTGAAGGATTTTTCCTATCAGACAGTATATATATAGCTATACGCCGAAATTAACTTCACTACCTTTCCTTTTCGAAAGCATCCCCTTCCTTGCAACCCTCCGTTTAGAATGCAACAAATGTAGTGGCATACGAGTTTTTAGCAAAAGGCTTCTACTTTCCAACGACACGGTTTATAAAATAGTTGAAAACACGAGCTTATTTAAATAACTGGTAAGTGAAAGCAAACTACAAAAAACGAGATGCGTATAAACTTGGATATGATATATAAGCTTCAAGAAAAATAACTTGTAAGTGAAAGCAAACTACAAAAAACGAGATGCGTATAAACTTGGATATGATATATAAGCTTCAAGAAAAATAACTGGCAAGTGAAAGCAAACTACAAAAAACAAGATGCGCATAAACTTGGATATGATGTATAAGCTTCAAGAAGGGATCACAATACCTGCACAGCTCGAGGCTCTTTATGAGGCATATTTCTTTTCTCCCTCTTTTCAAATCTGAATAGATGCACATGAATTCGTCTCAGATCCTCCTTTGTAGGATCATCTTGAGAAGGGAAAATACGAGCATTAGCAGATTCCAAAATACTGGTTTTCGACAGTATATAAAGAGAAACGGAAAGTTGCCTCATTGCTGCCAAGTGCCACACTTATCTTGGCAACAGATATTTTACCCCATACACAGCTTAGCCCTTCTAGCAATATACCTTGAAGCTTGACCATAATTTATTAATCAAACCAGCATCATAAAAAAAGAATTCACCGTCAAGGCACATTCAAGGAAACCCACATAGAGCCAAATTTTATTTCAAATTCGTGAGATGTAATTTTAATAGAAGCAAACGAACAAATGCTCAAATGTCGTTCATAAACGAAAAACAGTTCAAACAACACTAGGATAAAAAAGTGCAATAAAAGACATAAACGTAAACATTCATCAACCAGCAATACGACTCATACAAACGAAAATGGAATAACTTAACCATACAGCTGAGATCGATCTAAATTAAAGTCCAATCTGATACATTTATTGTTCTAGTGAAATTGAGGAAGGGCAGCAAAGTTCTTGGGAGCACTACACATTAAGCTTGGCAATATATGGTAACGGGAGAGTCTGGACATGGCATATTCAATGAGAAGGACCATCAGTTTTTTCCAAACCCAGTATTCATCTGGTCTTCAGGTTTAGGCAGGGTTAGCTTCATCAATATAGGCAATAGGCTGTGACTTCAAGGCTTCAGGTATCTCAGCTGTTGTATTGGGAAGGGAAAGGAGACAAAGGTAAAAGCATAGGATCAGTCATATTGGGATCAGTCACGATTTAGTATGAGGTGCCACTTGCAAGTGTAGATAGATAACCAACAAAAGAACTGATGGGAGAAAGTTAGATTAAATTTAAACGATGTCATGCTGTATAAACAATAAAATGATATGGTCTACCTGCAATCTTAACAAGCGTTTAGTAATCATATGTTCTGCCACGTGAACCATGGTTACGTCCAGATAACCTGGTAAAAGAGAGATCACTATCAAGGACAGAGAATCGTAATAGCTTGTGCAAGGTATTGGTAAAAGTGTGAGGCGATAAATTGGATAATTCAACTTCCTCAGTGGAGAAAAGAAGCCCGATAGAAATACAGCCGCATGTATAAAATGGATAAAGGTCAAAAAGACAGGTGTGTCGGTCAACCTAGCACTATTGGCTAAACCATGAAGGTCAAGAAAAAAATATGGAATTGGGCAGACAAAATGTTCCATTCACCATAATTATCGAGAAAGAAATATCGATTGAGCACTATACTCAAAAACCTGGCACAAGTCCTCAGTAAACACAAACATTAACTAAATCCACGTGAAACACATATTATCTTACCCAGAACCAACCGAACGCCCAGGCGAATAACTCCCATAAGCACCATAAGCAGAACTACCACTACCACCCTGAAAATGCCAAGAAAAAGTTGAACTTTATAAATCAAGTTCTTGTACCTGAATTGAAATATAGCTTGAAAGGTCAAAATAAAATTTGATATTACCTGACTGCCACCATAACCATCATAAGCATCCACAGGTGGCAAATCAACCGAATTACCGTACCCACCAGAATAAGAATACCCACGCCCACGAGCCCTTGAGTCCCTACTTTCATACTTCAAGCTCCCTTCTGCAGGCATCGGGACATAGGGGACAACCGGCAAAAATGCAGGCAAAGTACCCTCCTTTTCGAAAACATTGGCCCTCAAGCGCGAAGTTACTTGAATGAGAGCATCCTTAGCAATATCGGGGTCTCCAGAAATCTGGCCATATCAAACATGAAATGAAATCAATTTCCAACATCCTAAACACTTGAATTTTCAATGTTTCTCGTTCCTTCAAATGGCTAGATCTCTCCTAAGCTTGACTAACCATTTATTTCGGGAAATATAAATTCCTCTTTCCCATTTTTCTTACTCTGTTTAGACAACAATGCATATCTGCAACTTAATAACAGGCACTAACACACAAGTTTCCGTTATAAGTTGAACCGAAATAGCTCTAAAGTCAGAACAATTATTCAAAATAGAGGGCACCTCTAAAAACATCATCTGCGGCTCAACATTACATTATATTATTTTGGACAGAATTATTATTTAATCCCTTTACCTGAACCATCTCATCGTCACTGGAAGCTACTTTAGGTAAGTTTTCTTTTGACAGTATGCGGATATTGGCCCTGGTGACTTTCCTCATCTCAGATATTATAGACCCTCCTTTCCCAATGAGACACCCGACTTGTGAACCGGGAACAAGTAACCGTGTTGAATATGAAAAAAGGCCAGAGTCCCTCTCGACCTTATCGCTGCACCTGGGCTGCAAGCGAATAGCTGCGTCGATTGCTGAAGAAATAGCATCGTCGAAAATCTGATAACAAGTAAATAGGAACTACAGTTATAAAATGGAATCTTCCATAATCCAGTCAAATTGTCAATGTAGTATTACTTTGCAATACCTCTTTTGAAGATATCAAAATCAAGCAATCATCTCCCTCGGTGGACGAACTATCGACTTTAATGGATGCACCAGAATCCTGCCTTATTTGATTAATTATCTGGCCACCTTTGCCAATGACCCCTCCGATATTCACAGTGGAACAAACAAGACGAAGTGAGAATTCTTTAGGAGATGCTTCACCTCTTGGACCCGAATACAAGGACCGAGACCAATCTGCACTCTCTCCCTTGTAGCCTCCATAGTGCCCCACCAGTGGAGTTAATCCCATGATTGGTGCCCCACCAGTGGACCCCATAACCGAACCACCAGAAGAGTAGATGGTATGAGCAGAGGACGAGAGAAGATGCTGAGATCGGGAAGGATTGTCGTGAAGCCGAGCCGCAATCTGATAAAGAGCCTTCTTCACCACTGAAGCATCACCCGAAATCTGACTCAACAAGCAAACGAGAAAACCGTTACACACTGTTTCATAATTCATTAAGTAGTTCTACTAAAGAAAAAATACGATGAAGCATGAAGTTCAAATACCTGTACAAGCTCGTCTGAATTCAACGCACAAGCCGGCAGATGGTCATCTTTCATGATACGGATCTGTGCCCCAGTTTCACTTCGGATGTTCTGTACTATCTGCCCACCTTTCCCAATAACACACCCAATCTGATCAGAAGGCACCAAGAGCCGAACGCTTACTTGTGGGGCCTCCTCCATATCCTCCTCTTCTCCAATGTCCTCCGAAACAATTCTATCGTGAATCTTGAAAAGGGCATCTTGAGCTGGACACACACGCTCGTCTGTGCTTTCGAAATCGCTCGTCTCCTCACTGGCGCTGTAAATAGTGACGACACGCTCGTCGCATCCGGGCACGGACTCGCCAATTCGGATCTTCGATTTTGTATCTGCCCTCAGTTGCTTGACAATCTCCCCACCCCTCCCAATAATGCTCCCAATCTTCTTTCCTGGGCACAGATAGCGGTACACAGTGTCATCTGGCCCAATGGAGAATAGGTCCTTATTATCACCGCCTCCAGAGTTTCTTCGTTTGTTTTCCCCCCTTTCGGGATAGTCGGAGTTAGAATGAGATCGTTTGCCATAGCTACTCCTGTGGCCAGCCATTCTGGAATAATAAATTTGATTACCAGTCTGGATTAAATAAATCTCGGACAATAAATCCACCGATTTTTCACATGCTTTGCAGCTTATTAAATTATAAATCGTGATACCTATTTCCAAATAGTCAATTTGCGTACTATGTGCTGCTACAGAGAAAAGGGGCAATAAGCCAATAACACAACATTGCCATGAAGCTCGAAAAAACGAGTCACGGTTACCAAAACTATACTGGATTTTGACTCGATCAAAGACTTCGAATCCCCTAGTTAAATTCCGTCACACATCAAAAGAAATAACAAATTGTAGCTACAATACAAGAGTTGCTTCAACATTTGTCAATGTAATCATACATACATGAATCCACAACCCAACACTCTCATTCTACCAAATTGAACCCAGATTAATTGGTCAAAGTAAATTTCAATCTCGATTCCAAATTAGTTTATCTTGTGCCCAGATAAACATTGATTTAAATGGAATGCTATCCTGTCCTAACTACGACCAGCGGAAATGAGGATGAAGAAATTAGAACTAATCATCAGCACGCGACGACTTCGAGTTTAACTTACGGGGTCGTAGAGCTACAATTACGTCGCAGNNNAATCGGAAAAAGGCACAACAGAAGGTGAAAAATCAGATCGGCAAAACAGAAATCAAAGGCTTGATTAAAAATTACCTTGTAGAAGAGGATATTCTTGAGGAATAGGAATACGATGTGGATAATATCAGCAAGAGAGAGACGTCTCTTCGACCTTCGTAAGCAATTGTGTTTAAAATATCTAGGGTTTTGACACCGAATAGGAATATAAGCTGTAATAATAGTACCTTATCGTTGTATAAAAAGAATAATTTTTTTATAAATTTAAAAACTTTTTCCAGTTAAAATTATTAAATATATCATAAATATGGTAATTGTTGGATAATTGTGAATAGGCAAAAAAATCGGTTCTGTAATTGCATTGTTTTCTTAATTTCAACTTGCAACAATAAATCCAATTGGCTTTTGGTTTAAATTTTCCCATAAAAATCTTATATCATAAATGTATACGAGTTTATCTTTTATTTGTTATATTGCATACGTTTTTTAAAAATCTCATATCTTATCTATAAAGATTTTAAAAAATAAAACAAATTCATAATTACTACTAGAAATTCATTATCTACTTTAAAAAGGCTAATTTTCATCGGTCTACATACTAATATTTTTACAAATATTCGAGTTTATTTCTTAATCTTAATTAAATATTATCAATATAATTAAATAATATCGATCAATAATTAATACACACCACACTTAACCTTAATTCACTATTTATCCACTCACATTATTTCAAGTAACCATCACTTCAAATTATATCTTTCATATTTTTACATCAAATCAATTTTAATTATTTTATTTTAAATATTATTTTAATATACTAACAACTAACCATATCACATTTTTAAAATTTATCAAACCAAACAAAACAAAAAAATCCAAACGATACCAAAAGCCTGACATGATACAATCCAAAATCCCCAATTCGTGAAACCCTAGTTTGATAAACCCTGATCCGCTAGGGCGGGACACAGCCATGTCGACGTCGGGGCACCAGCAGTTTCGTTACACGCAGACACCTTCGAAGGTGTTGCACCTGCGGAATCTTCCTTGGGAATGCAACGAGGAGGAGCTTGTCGAGTTATGCAAACCCTTCGGCAAAATCGTAAACACCAAATGCAACGTTGGGGCTAATCGAAATCAAGCGTTTGTCGAATTTGTATGTTATTTCCATTTCGTTTCGTTTTCTCTACGAGTTTCTGTGTATCCTGATCAGATTATGTAGCTGAAGATATTTGAAATTGTACCGGGAACAGCAATCAGTCCTCACAAGAATGAAGATCTAATCATCTACTTCGTACGCGGTCTTCATTGTCAAGTATCGTTTATTCCTTAATGTATAGAGGAGAATTTCTGTTTTGATTACTCTAAAGCAAAACGATTGATTGAGTCACTCGGTACTTTCACATTGTGAATCAAACCTTTCAAATATTATGCTTCCTTTCAAGGGAAGCCGAAATCTAGTCTGTCATGCTAGTATCGAGAGGATATCCAAGTATGATATGTGTGTATCATTTTGATGTTGTTGTGGAAAAAATTGGTAAAATAAGTACTGATTACTCTTTACTGCATAGTCATTAATAATTATGCGGGAAAACACTCGGGTGTTTGTGATAACATATGGATGCATATGAGAGTTCATCTTTAATGATTCCAGGTTATGCACAACTTCTGTTATATGCATCTTTTGTTTGAAGCCAAAGTGTTCTATGGATTATATCAGAGAGTGCCTGATGGTTGTGATTTAGCCACCACCAAATTCGGGTTATTTAGGCAATAGTAGTTTGTCCAATGCAGTTTGCGGTTTTGTATCAGTTGGACGCTTTAGATTAATGAATGTGTGAATGTACCTGCAGGTTGACCTTAACCAGGCTGTGAACATGGTCGCCTATTATGCTTCATCTCCAGAGCCTGCACAGATTCGTGGAAAAGCTGTGTACATACAATACTCAAACAGGCACGAAATAGTTAACAACAAGAGTCCCGGAGATGTTCCAGGAAATGTTCTACTTGCCACCATTGAGGGTGTTGAAGCCGGTGACATCAGCATTGAGGTTATTCACCTGGTAATGCATTTTTTTTTTTTTTTTCACTATACAGGACTTTTGGCATTGTGAAATATTTTCAGCATTCAGTTACCTGTGAATATTAAATATTTATATTAAAATTGTTTGATGAGTAAAGATAACTTTTGGTTGGCTCGTTGGGTTAAGGATTTTTACCCTTAACTGTGATTTTCCCATCTTTTTTAGAAGTTCTCTATTCCTTATTTGATGAGTAAAAATGTTTCATGACTTCAATATGTATGAGTATGACAGTTCTCCTGTAATGCTGATTCTTGATTGTTTGGTATCACATGCTTGTGGTCTCCAGGATGTGGGTCAACTTACAAACATTTGGTCATATTCTATATGTAGAAAGTTTAATTATAGATGCTAGCTGGTTTGGTTATATGACTTCAATATGTATGCCAGTTCTCATGTAATGTTGATTCTTAATTGTTTGGTATCACATGCTTGTCGTTTCCAGGATGTGGGTCAACTTGCAACTTTTGGTCATAGTCTGTATGGAGAAAGTTTAATTATCGATGCTAGCTGGTTTTATTTTCCTAAAAGTGCCACTTGCATATGCTGTCACCTTTAACGAGACAAAATCAAATAACAGATGGTCTTTTTATAGTCTTTTGTTGGAGATAATCTGGATATATTGTTATGTGACTGCTTTGAAGGTCTACCTTCTCGCAGTTGTACAGGTGTTTTCTCTATCTATTCGGTTGCTATTCTGCTCGTATTATTAGATTGAGAATATGTTTCTTCATTTTTTTTTCAGTTTCCGTTTCTATTTATGTGCTTAAAATGGAGTTTACCTATCTTAGGTATTCTCAGCATTTGGTTTTGTTCATAAGATTGCTACATTTGAGAAGGCTGCCGGTTTTCAGGTAAATTTTTATTGGAAACTTATTAATGTTTGTTATATTAAGTTATAAGGCCCTTTTTCCTTTTTTTATTTATTTTTTTATTTTTTAACGGTGGCGAATTTTGACAGGCTTTGATTCAGTATAGTGATGTTCAGACTGCAACCACAGCAAGGGATTCTCTAGATGGTAGAAGCATACCGAGGTATGTAATTTTGGTCTATATACATCGAACAGGGTTCGAATACCTGTGCCTATTTTAAGTGCCATTTATGACCAATCTTGTTCACACTTGATCGTTTTTTTTTTTGGTCAAATGGAGTTTTCTAACAGGGGAATATATTGTTATCCTGTTTAATTTTCAGATACCTTCTTCCAAGTCATGTAAACGAGTGTTACTTACGCATCTCCTACTCTGCTCACACCGATTTGAGTATTAAGTTTCAGTCACATCGGAGCAGGTAATAACAAACCTAATCATTCAGTTCTTGATGTTTCTAACATTTTTCTTTGTGCCACTAAATGTTGGTTATTCCGTCCAGTTACTTCTATATACAGAACTTTTTGGCATAATTTGATTTCTCGTTTTTGTCATTTAGGGTTTAGTGAAGCTCAGCAGCTTAACACAAATGTGTGTTTTCATGGCCTCGTAGTAGTGTTCTCCATCTTATGATTATTTTTCTTCTTAATTTTCTTTTGACTACTACGTGGATAGTTACACTACTTTACGTTTTCGTATTTTAGAAACTGATGCACTTCTATATTATAATCTTGGTTTAGGCCACCTTGAAGTGTCAGAATTATTTTACATGGCCTTTTTTATGTTACTAATTTCCATTGACTTTGGGGATGATTATACTTTTATTTTGGCGTTTAATGTTAATAGTTCCGCGTGCACACTGATTTTCCTTTTTTGCTTTGGGAACTTGATATGGATCAAATATTTGACTAATTGTAATGTTATCTGAAAATCATTGTATCTTGGTGCAATATTGTGTGCTTGGGCAACATTCTCCATATTGGTTAATATCCTAAATTTATTTTTATCTACTTAATATTCTCCATATTGAGAGAGCTTCCTTCTTTGAATGCTGGGTCAACCTTATTTTAGATATAATGTAATAGTATCCTGTTAAATATTCTTCTGATAAATGTTTTATCCTTGTTTAATCCTGCAGAGATTATACAAACCCCTATCTTCCGGTTAATACAACTGCAATGGAGGGTTTCCTTCAGGCACGTTACTTCACTGAAAACATTTGCCAATTCTTTAGTTTTGGCAAGCAATAACATGTTACTTTTTTTTTTTTTTTTTTTTTTATTTATTTATTTACTTTTATCCAGCCTGCTCTAGGTCCTGATGGGAAGAAAAAGGAATTAGAGAGTAATGTGCTTCTTGCTTCTATGGAGAATATGCAATACACAGTCACGGTGGATGTTCTTCACACGGTAATGATCGCTGTGCTTATTATTCTCTTATGCATAATTTTGGAAAAAAATAAGTAATGCGTTAGGTGTGGCTTTTGATCAGGTATTTTCTGCGTTTGGAACTGTTCAAAAGATTGCAATATTTGAGAAGAATGGTGGAACTCAGGCACTTATTCAGTATCCAGGTAAGTTACTTGTAGATTATGCAATCTCTAATTCCATACAGTAAAAATGGAAAAATATAAACTATTGCATGAATATGCACCCCTTTTTAGATTTCATCTTTATTTATATCGTGGCAACTTGGTCAATATGTTTTCTCTGTAAAAGTTTATGTTTTTTTAGTTCGGTTGTGTAGTTTTTCATCAGAACTGATCTGCTTTACTGATATTGGGACATTTAGGTGGGTTATAGTGGCAGAAATAATTAGCTGACTGCTGTGATTGCTCGTGTAGGCTTTGTAAAATTATTATTGTTAGAATAATATGATAATTTCTGCTTTGATTTCCTGTGGAATTGTTAAATTGATTCTTCATTTGGTTCTTTTTACTTTTTCAATCACAATTTTCTTCAACTAAGTTTCATTTGAGAAACATCCCACCATCATTAAACTTATGATTATGTTATGTGCCATTTTGTTATTCACTGTGTTTCTTCAATCTCAAATCACATACAATCACCAATTAACAAGTTTACAAAAGAAACCCAAAACATTAGTCTCCTTATTACATGTTCATGCCACAACCATGCCCTCATATTCGTTCATATTTTTCCACTAACCTTTTTAACATTATAATCGCAAAAGGAGGAAATGTATATGAAAAGAAGGCAAACGTCCAGCAACTATTCCGTATAGTTTCAATCTCCTTGAATAATAGATGTGCTGTTTTTTCTTGAAAAAAAAAAAGAACACTAAAATGATAATCTTGTCATCTTTTGCAGATATGGCAACTGCATCCATCGCCAAAGAAGCTCTTGAGGGTCATTGCATATATGATGGTGGCTATTGTAAGCTTCATCTATCATTCTCTCGTCATACTGATCTCAATGTCAAGGTATAGAATAATGCTTTTGACATAATAAGTTAATAACAAAAAAGTAAAAATTATAAGATAAAATAACAAGAACAGAACACGGGTTGTGTCCACTCCAACCCAAATTAATTTGACCCTGAANNNNAAAAAGGACTTTGCTCCCTTTGGTGTACGTTTTTCGACTCAAATCTCCGCTTCCAGCTGATGATTCTTTTCATTTACAAAACTAACTTATTTTATGGTTGTTTTATTATTGTAGGCTTACAGTGACAAAAGCAGAGATTACACGATCCCTTTATCACTCGCTATGCAACAGCCTGTAGACCCATCTGCCCCAACAACAGGGCCCTCTTATGTGTCGTCACAGGCATATCCTTTGGCCCCAAATGCTTATGCAGCTGCTCCTTTCAACTCAACGGGGGTTCATCACTTGCAACCACCGTATTACGGCTCGTGAGTTTTACTTTTACCTCTTGTGAAAAAATTTCACCATTTTTCGTTGAAAATCAGAAAATGAAAGTTCATTTAAGCTTTCTGTTGAGAAAAACTACTACGCGTAATCTTGTGGGGTTTTATACTTTGTAAATCACCACAACACCCAGAAACACATACACACTGATTTTTAATACAATGGTTCCCTCGGGTGGACCAACCATTCACTTGAGTTTTCATGTTCGTGCAATTTATGTTCCTGTACAATCCCCCTTATATATTAATTGAGAACGTGCTGAGCCTATGTGGCAGGCTCGTATGCTTCGGAATCCTATGTGGCAAAAATACATGCTTCGTTATTAGGCTTGGGTAGATTTAGTTTACTTCTAATCCAAATATATTTAGGTTCAGATTATCTATAATATGATGATTATTTATGGTAAGGGTGGGCGCCGACCGGGACGGTCCTGGATTTGACTTGTCCGGATACCCATCCCACTTTTATGAATCCGTCCATAAACGGTCCGGGATGAGGCACCGTCGCCACCCATGTAATACATGGATGTTGTACTAGTCTTTGTTTAATCGGGAAGACATGATTGTCTGTGGTTGAGCTTAGGATTATTTTTGCAGGACATTGTGAAATTAATTTTGGGGCTGTGTTCAGTGTGAAATTATTTGAATTTAATCTGTTTAGATGAACTAATTTTGGCTTGGGGTTTTTTT